CCTCCCCCTTTCCCCCCTCCCCCTCCCCCCTTTCCCCCCTCCCCCTTTCCCCCCTTTCCCCCCTCCCCCTTTCCCCCCTTTCCCCTTTCCCCCCTCACGCACCTTCATCAGCGCGGCCGCGTCGTTGAGACTCATAGGGCCGCTAACCTGCAGCAGGGTTATCGTCCAGAATTCGTTGGGGTTCGCGGTTGGGTAGTTGGTAGTTAGGGGAGACGGTTAGAGGCTATCATTACATACATAATACATACTCACCTGAGGCCCCGCCGTCACACTCCTGCCAGCCGCCGGCGCACCCCCGCCGCCAGGTCCCCCGGTCTCCCGGCTCACTCGGCGAACCACCCCCGCTCCGGAACCGGGTACCCCAGTAGCAGCAGTGGCAGCTGCAGCGGCGTCAGAGCCGCCCGGGATACCGCCTGGGGGCGAATGAAACCGGGCGGGGGAGGTGGGGGAAGGGGTAGGGGTAGGGGGCGGGGTAGTGGCAAACACGAAGAGGGTTTTTTCCCGTCGTGTGTGCGCGTGTGTTCTTGCGTGTGGGCGCCCAACCGCCCGTTGGCAGTTTGGTTTAGTTAGTTTACCGTTGTCATGAGAATCATCATGTAACGCGACACAGGTTACGTAAGCAAGCAATTGAAATAGGGCTTCGTCAGGTAGGTAGGTAGGGCGAGTGGAGACCCTTATCGGCATCATGTGCCGTACAAAACGGGCATAACTTAAATCAGATTCTGAGTTTACAGAAGAGAACTTGTTTTTTCTTTATCGTTACTCTCTGAAAACGTTTTTAGGAATGTATGTCAGCGTCAACTGCCAAGGGCAATTTATGAAATAGAGTACGGCACAACCGTGCTGTACATGTAAAAACAATGTACGACGCAAGCAAAACACACCTGCGCCTCCCGCCGGGCCGCCATGGCCCTCACCCGACTGCGGCGAAGCCGAAGGCGCCGCCGCCGCCGCTGCTGCGGCACGAGCCGCCCCGCCTGGTTGCCCGTGCGCCCCGGCGTTCTGGCCCCCGGGAGCCAGTGAGCTCTTCCCGGCCTCCGACGGTGTCTTCTTGGCGCCCAACATCTTGTCCGTGAAGGAGCCGCGGCGCGAGGGGGCGCGGCGCGGCGGGCCGTGTCCGTGTCCCCCCCCGCCCCCGGGTGCTGCGGCGGTGCCGCGGATGGCTGCCAACTGAGAGTGCTCTGCAGGGCCAGCCACAGCCTCAGTCGGCGTCCCCTGTGGCTGCCCCTCGTTTGGGTGCTCCGCGCTCGAGTGGATCTGTAGAGGGGGTGTGGAGGGGTGTGTGAGTGGCGGGGGTATGGAGGTGGGTATGTGGAGGGATGGGGAAAACGAGCCCGACAAACACACACACGCGTGTGTGTTTCGTCTCTCCGTTGCAGTCCAGGCATATCCGTTACTACAACCATCTAGGGTCCTGCCGCTGCACCTCGGGGATAGAGGACAGCAAGCTGAGGAGAGAAGAGGAAAGAGGTGGAGAGAGAGAGAGAATGACAGAGGAAGACACACACACACACACACATACGTACATACGTATATATCTACACACAAATACATATAAACACATACATACAGACGTACCTTGAGGGTGAAGAAGAATGTGGTACCCTGACCCTCCTTGGATTTGACGCTGATACGGCCCCCGTGCGCCTCCACCAGCTGCTTCACGAGGTTCAAACCCAGGCCCGTACCGCCGTACTTGCGGGTTACGGACATATCCACCTGCGAGGGGGGGAGCCGGGGCCGGGGCCGGTGTGTGTGTGTGTGTGTGTGTGGTACCGGTGGGTGACGGTGAAGGTGGAGATGGTGCAGAGAGTCCGTGGGGGGGAGCGTAAGAGTGCTCTGAGCGTGGGCGCCATGCACCTAGAGAACCCGGGGGGGGGGTAACCAGGTCATAACTCAACAGCCCGAAATGATTTGCATATCAACATGCAAATATTCCCATTTCGGACATGTGCGACTTTGTTTCATCTGTTTTGGAGTTGACTAGCCTAACTAGGCTCCCATGGGTTTGACTGGATGCCTGTGGGCCCGATGTTCGCGGGAGAGCCACATGCACTGGAAGAGCTATCAGAGCGCCGCCCGGAGGCCAGTATCAGGTCCGGATCGATATGTATCACACATACAGACAGACAGACAGATAGACACAGACAACACGCAACCCCCTCCAACGACACACCATCCAAAGAAACATGAACGCCGTACGGCGACCGTACAACGGTACCCGCAGGGGGCCCCACACACACAGCCCACCTGCTCAAAGGCCAGGAAGATCTGGTCAAACTTGTCCTCGGGTATGCCAATACCCGTATCCGACACCGCCACCTCCACCTCGTCATCTTTGACGCTGGCGGCGATGGAGATGAAGCCGTTGTGGGTGAACTTGCAACTGTTCCCGATCAGGTTGTGGAACACCTGACACACGTGTGTGTGGTGAGGACGATGATGATGATGATGATGGTGATAATGGCAGGGCGGACCGGGGATAGTGTGGGGCTTGGAAAGGACAGGCGGATAGACAGACAGACAGATAGACAGGTAGACAGGAAGAGCAAAGCGCGTGAAGGTAGAGGCACGGTGTGACCGGCGAGGACGGGGACTTGCATCAAACTGCACGAGAGTAAGCAGCTGCAACTAACTTCGAGGTTCCGGTTGGTGGTTGGTGGTTGATGCCCCCACCAGGATAGGGTGGAGAACGACGAACCACGAACGCGTGAAGCTGCTTGCCAAGGATGGGAGGGGTGATGGGAGATTTCGGCGGGGGGAGGTCAGGAGTGTCTGGACGAGCGTCCTGATGATCGCTGATGGCTAATGGTAGCCAAAGGGGGGCGTCGGAGGCGTCCGGGCGCCATGACCTGGCACTCCTACCCCTCCACTCCCCATCACCTACTCCCCCTTTTCACCTACTCCCCATTTTCACCTAACCCCCCTCACCCCCTCTCACCTGGATGATACGACCCGTATCGCCAAGCACGAAGGGCACATTCTCCCTCAGGTCGTTCACCAATTTGACGCCCCTCTTGGCCAGAGGCTGACACAGGTCGATCACGTCGTCCACCACGCGCTTCAGGTTCACCTTCTCATGCTTGATCGTCAGCTTGCCCTGTGTGGCCGTGTATGTATGTCAGTATGTATGTCAGTATGTATGTATGTGTGTCGGGGGGATATTCAAAAACACGTTCCCGGGACAGCAATTCCCTTGACCGAGCCAGTCAGCCCTCCCTCCCTCCCCCCCTATCCCGCCCCACCTTGCGCATGGATGCCGCATCCAGGATGTCGTTAATGAGATTCAGCAGCCGGGCTCCGCTCGTCTTGATGGTGGTGATGGTCTTCAGAGCCTGTGTGTATGCGGTCCCCACCACCAGGCACCAGGTCGTGCGCCGCCAGGACAGACCACATCAGACAACCAAGCGCGGCGGGACACATGTAAAGAGTTGTGGAGGCAAAGTGCGGCAAGTCCTAACACACATAATATGTATAACATCACACGACACACATAATATGTATAATATATCACACGACAGCAGCACACCCATATCCCGCCGCCGCACCTGGTCGTTGATCTCCCCGCAGGACCCCACCAACAGCGCGTCCGACAGCCCGATGATGCCGTTGAGGGGGGTGCGCAGCTCGTGGCTCATGGAGGACATGAACCGCTCCTTCTGCTCCACGAGGTCCTTGAGCTCCTGAATGACCTGAATCCTGTGAGGGCGGGGAGGGGGAGGGAGGGAGGGGAGGGGGGGTAAGGGGAGGGGGGAAAAGGGTAGGGGGAAAAAGGGAAGGGGAGGGGGGGTAAGGGGAGGGGGGAAAAGGGTAGGGGAGGGGGGGTAAGGGGAGGGGGGAAAAGGGTAGGGGAGGGGGGGTAAGGGGAGGGGGGAAAAGGGTAGGGGAGGGGGGGTAAGGGGAGGGGGGAAAAGGGTAGGGGAGGGGGGGTAAGGGGAGGAATCTTATGCAATGAAACCACAAATGAGCTGCCGGGTCCGGTGTGAAGTAGGGGAGTGAGGGAGGGGAGGGGAGACAGCTGCGGGGGACAAGAGGGAGGGGAAGAAGAAAGCTTGAAAGTTGCCTCCCATGACTTCACATGCAGCCTGCTGTGTCCTCTAACAAACTGAGCTGTGCCGTCCTTCCCACCGCATATACCCCAACTATGGTTAACTTAAGAGTTGACGACTACACACTAACTCGACAGTTGAACAATTATAAAAAGTTATTGCTTATCGCTTTCCCCCCTTCTTTCCCCCCTCTCACGCCGACATTTTGGACTGCTCCCCAGCACCGCTTTCTTAGCCAGTTGTTTCTGTGCTGCTTTCTTAGAACATCATCGACATCATCAACACCGACATCACCATCATCAACACCATCACCGATAATTTACAGATCAACGCCGATAATGATTAATTGTTCACACACACACGCACACACACACACACACGGTACGTGCGTATGTGTTTCGCTGGACCTCCGGTGGCCCCTATGGCCCCTATGGCTCTCCCCCCAACACACACACATACACATACATACATACATACATACATACATACATACAACACACATACCTGTTCCCTTCCTCCACGATACGCATGGCGATGAGACGGCGCTGCTCAATGGTGAGGAAGTTGCCGTGTAACAGCGAGGAGCTGAACATGACCTTGCCCAGGAAGTCGCACGCGCACCACATCCACTCCTCCGTATGCACGTCCACCAATCCGAGTTTGACGATGATCCATATGCCGGGGAAAGTGAACCACAGGCCCTGGGGGGGAAAGGTGTTTGTTTGCGGGATGCGTATGTGTGCGTGTGTGTGTGTGTGTGAGAGAGAGAGAGAGAGAGGGAGGCCGCGCGTGCGCGCGAAAGAAGGCGGGGGTGAGGGAGAGCGAGAGGGAGACAAGGCAGGCAGTCCTGGTAGTTTGCAGGGTGATGGCCAACATGTTCTTCTCCCCCTTGTTGTCCCTCCATCGCTGCTCCCATCCCTCGACCCTATAAGCCCCCTCACTCCTTAACTCCCTTCGAGCCATTACTGAGGAGCTCTACACGAGATAAAACGTATTGAGGAGCTCTACAAACCTCAGATTCAAACTCAGATGAGAGAATTTTTTTATCTTAACCGAACGCAGCGTTACAATCTACGCAGTAATTTACATCCGAGTTATAGTTACTCCAGCTTTCAGTCCATGACGTAGCAGTGCTACGCGGAAGGTCATCCGCCGCAAAGCTGCGGAACAGACGACAGTGCTGTGCGCGTTTTGGCTGTCTCTGCGAGGAGCCGTTGGTTAAGTGGGCTTTCGTTTTCATCGCTTTGTAACGTGGCCATCTCTTCGTTATGGCGCTTGGAGCCTGGAGCCATCTAAACTAATTGAACCAGGCTGCCTGTCCGCTGATGCTCCGGAAGCTTTCTGTCCATGTGTACAACATCGTCACTTTTTCAGCGCACGCCGCGTAAAAGCTAATGCTTTGTATCCTGTCCTCCTTTGGAGGCGGCTTTACCCCTCTTATTATTATTAACCTGGAGTCTCTTCCACACTGCACCGACCGACTATCCCTTATGAGGCTGGAGCGCCATGACGATGTTGATGATATACATGTACCTACATCACAAACTTAATCATCGATGCTGTCGCTCGTGTCATCGTAGTGCCGTACATGCGTTTGACTGCGGAAAGTCAACGCCTCGAACCCCTCAAACCTTTAAGAATTTTTTTGCTTGCGCTTTTTACTTTGTGTATATATTCCTTTTATGATAAGTTTCCTGATTTTTGAATTTCCCAGCAGTTAGCTGAAATCCTTTAAGAAACAAAGGAATGGTTGCTCTCTCTCTCTCTTTTTCTCTCTGCCGCTGTACTACCCACCACAGCAAACAGCCGCAGAACCTCAAGACTAACTCGGCTGCTGTCGTGTCTGGCTTCAGCTATAGACCTGCGAGGAGGAAGTAGGGGTAGCAAAAAAGGGGCTGAAGAACAAGCTTTAGCCGTTACGGCTTTTCCGCCGTACGATCAGCTGCTTCGACAGCAAACTATCATCAACAGCAGCGGTCTCCGCAATTGCATCAAGAAGCGGCGGCAGCGGCGAACGCTAGAGGAATACTGGAGGATAAACACGACATAAGGAGATACATCATGATCATAAAATCATGATCATAAAATCATTAGCAGATAGAATGCAGCGGCAAAGGTGGCACTTACGCATGGAACATGGTCCACATGCTGTAGACGACGTAGGAGAAGAAAACCCACGCGACGAGGTAGAGCAGGACTGCAGAGAGGCGCCGGAGCAAGGCGACGTGCGGAGGAGAGCAGGAAGATGGGAAGGGACCGACGATGGCGGATAGCGGCGGCGTTGATATAAGTTTGGAGCACGCGCTGACTACTAAGGTGCGACTCCAAAACAGCGTCCGCATACAGCTTAGGAATAACATCAGCGAAATGCTCACAGCGCTTTACGTATCAAATGCGCTAGGAGCGCTGTGAGTATTAATATATTTGAGTCTAGGTGCACGGGCTGATGTACGGCACGATGTACTCTGGGTTGACATCAGGATTCGGAGCTGACCCGCGGGTTAAGGCGCCAGTTGTATTCGGACAGCAGGGAGCCTGGTGTTGAGGAGGAAACCCAGCGTTCCCCACAAACGCCCAGAGAGGTAATGATGGAAAACCTAGCTCAGCACTTTAATGGCAGAGCCTTATCAATCAATTCGAGTCATCCCGTTCGCCGTGTAAGCGCAGCACCAGCGGAAATTATGGAAACTAGTACATCAGCATCTTTGCAGACTTCCGAGTGTTGCTGCGATTTTACCAAAAAGTGCAGTTTCGGATATGGTTAATACTACATCATACAAATCCTTACTGGAGAGATATTTGTTGAACGCCAGGAAGGCCAGAATACCGAAGGAGATCATCAACACGTCGGCCAACATTACCGAGTACACCTGTTTCGTACGGATAGCAAGTTGGGTACAGCGTTACATCGACCGATTTTTCCAGCGTGCAAGGACCCAAGTATAAATGTTCAGCACAGACCTTGATGCGGCTGAAGTCCGAAATGATGCTGAGGAGGTAAACCATTGCTGGTGTGGTGAGCAACCACATAACCGTGCGCAGCAGCTGGAAACCCTGGCCCCATGAGTCGCGCACGATCGGAGAGTAACCGCGCCATGACAGATAGTCGTTGAAACCGGCAAGGAAGTTGATGTAGCAGGCGAGCAGGGCCAGCTGGAATTTGGCGCTCTCACGTTCGAAGAGGAGAGTTATAAAGTTGAGACCAAAGGCTGTCGAAAAGGCTACCATCGGCCAGGTGTAACAGTTAGGATCAGTCTGCAGAGAAACGATATAAAATTTGACATTGACGCGTACTTGCTTGCAAAGTATGCCATAACAGCCGCCTCGTCAAGAAACTGCGAGACAGCATCAATCTTTCGACGTAAGTTGACCGCGCACCTTTGAATGAAACTCTGCAGTAAGCTCAGGATCTCCAATGCCGCTCGTGCAAAGCAGGTAGGCGGATAAGAGGAACATGAGCACGCCAAACCTGTGTTCAGACGTGATGGTTTCAGACCATTCGGCACAACAAGCGGTTCTTGCTGCCCGAGAGGTCTGCTGCATTCTAGCAAGTGAAGCCTGCAGAGAGGCCACAACAGCACCCCTAAAACGCTGGGTCGCGGGCTGGAAATTTACGTACCCGGCAATGGCCACCGAGAACGACACGCGTGCGCGCCTCTCCACGGCTTTTTGGAATGCCTGTGCATCCGTATCTCGTTGGTTGGTCTCAATGGCATCGATTCTGTCCTGTAAATGAGCCGGAAGGGTCGAGGCCTTTCCGCCCCCACCCATTCTTGCTCCTTGCTTCACGAAACCCGGTACTAAGGCATATGCGTGAGAATACTTAGTGTATTATAACAGTCGTGGTTTGCATCCTCAGTGTGTTAACCATTGTCCTGACAGGCTCGCTGAACGACATGGACGATACAACCTTCCATTGCCTTCTTCACCAGCCAACAACTGGTAGCTTTTTGCCTACTCTGCATTCAGTGTATCACTTTGTGGAAAATGATGTCGTGCACCTTGTTGCGCCCAACACGGCCTTGCAAGCTAGGCACAAAATGTGCGCGCCCAGGGCACGCGAACATGCGCATCATCCGGGCTCAGGTAATCTATACCTGTTTCTGTGCATCGCAAGCTTCGCAGCGAAGTAGCTTAATCTCACAATCGACACTGCTTGCGACCCAGACCTCTGGCAGCGCGGAGGCTACCTCAGCTCCAGCCGCTGACGTTTGCAGCACATGTGGAGTTGATCGGAGCAAGATGCCTGGAGGGTAAGTCTAGCGCCTTGCCGAACCTGCATCACGCTGGTGTATGTGGTGATGGTGGGCGCTGGAGTCATCTTCCAGCTCACAGGCTCAGCGCCGGCTGCATGCTCCATCCTTAGGTGTGACGGCCAAGGGCGAGTCATCGGCGGCATGGGCGCGCTTCCTGGGTTCGGCTGGTGGCCGATTAAGGCATACAAGCCGTGTCCAGCTCTGAACGAGGCTGGGTTGGAGTACACAAGGTAGGTTTGTGCGATTTCGCCCGGCATCCACCTGGATGCCAGAACCCAATCTACCGTCGTTTAAGAGTCCCTCCTCCAAGATATCGCAGAATTCCTGCCCAGTTCCGTCCCCTCAACCTTTTCCCCTAGAGCGGTTCTTCACGGATAGCAACGAGAGAAGAAAAGGAAGGTGGATAGCTTTCGCACTATTGCCTGCCAGCAGGCATGCCCCAGCCCCATGTCCTCTCCTTCCGCGGCTAGATTCCATATCCATGGCCTTGCGCAGCACCTTGCCCCCTTGCTGCAGCCTTCAGTGATTTTTCGCGCACCTCATGTTTGGTGGCTCCGCCTTCTCATGCAGCATGGATCCGTTGGTTGTTGGAGCTGGTCCTATGGGGATGTCGTACAGCCCACGGAGGCTTCATGCATCGTCCGTGTTGGGCTTTTTTCTTTAGTCCTGAGCGCTCAGTACTGAGAGGTTGCATACGTTGGCGATTCACGTGCATTGCAGTGCCATTGCCCTTCACGGCTTTACACCCTCGGAGAGCCTCGCATACACCCCTGTCATCCCCGGAAGCGGAAACTTCACAACCGTCTAGCCCTCGCCATCATCTACATGCCTAGTGCATCCTTGCAAGGCCACGTACGGGGTGCTCGTCCTCACGCTTTTGGCGCCCATGACCCTCCCCTTCACCTTTTTGATTTCGTTTGCAGGAAGGGCCAGATGACCAATGACGTACTCTTTGGTAGGTTTATTGTTTGCTTGCGCGACCTGATCTACCGGAATCTCTGAACTGATGTGTGTTGCGTGTCTTTAAGTGGCCAGAGCCAGTGTGTACTGCGGTTGGCCAGTTATTACCTGACCACATATGCTGGGCCGGGCAGAGGCCCACAGCTAGCCGCTTAAGTGGTGTGATAGACCTCCAAGGCGATCGGCTGTGGGAACTCTAGTGACGGCTGGGGAGCACTCGTGTGACTTATTGGCGTTGATGCTGCACTGCACTGCATGGCCCTGCAGGTGGCGTGAGCTTGGGGCCGCAAGGAGCACAAAGCTTGGAGGAGATGAAGAAGACCGCGGATAAAGGAATCAAAATTAACTAGGAGTAGGACAGCAGCAGCACTGTGTGTGTGTTGCTGATCGCAAACCTGCGCTTTGCTGCAATTTTCCCGTTAGCACAAAGCGTGGCGGCGGAAATTTTTTTGGTTACACACAATCGAGTGGAGGATGCTTTCTTTGTGCCCTGCATCTGAGCTTCTAATGGCCTATCTTTCAGTTCATGGCCTCTGTTAGTTCGTTAAGAGGTGGCATGAATGTTGCATGGTTGCCGTCGTGGCGATACCTTGGACGGGCTAATCCGTTTTTCCTTGACCCTCGCGCTTGGAAAGGCCTGAGAGGGGGACCTCTACCTCCAGAGCCAAGCATTATAACATGGTGGTGGGTTTGTTCCCGTGTGACATGCAATACACGAGCTTCGCAAACGGTTCCATCCTGCATCCTCAGGTGCTTTTGCGCTTCAGATTGCACACAGCTGCGACGTCTGCATGCAACCAGCTGTAGAACAACGGCGTGAGCACCACCGTGGCGACGTGCCAGGCCGCGTGTGCGTCTAGGAGCCCGCCGATGGGTGGAAAATCGAGAACCTCCAGCAGCATGCTGAGATGGACCAGCAGCATAAACACGTACATCTTGTAGCGGGCTGGGTGCCGTGTCCAAGCATTCCATCCGAGCCATAGGGCCGCAGTCACGATGCCTGCTATGACACACACGCGCATGTTCCAGCCGTAGTCAAACTTGACGTACAACATGTAGTACAGGTGTGCGGCCAATCCGGCAGTGATGGCTGCGGTGGCAGCGGCAGCGAAATGGTGCCACCGGCGCATTGAGCCCCATAGAATCCGAGCCACAGCCGCGAACAGTCCGAACGCAACCAAACAAATGGCGCTGATGTAGTCCAGGCGTTCTGTTAGTCGCGTGTCACGGGAATGGAAGACAGCGCTCCAAAACCAGGCATTCATGTGAAGGCAGCCGTAGGCAGTCCACATCCAGAGGAAAGGGTACAGAGATCTGCTGCACGACGAGCCCGTTGCAGGTACTTCCGCCAGCGGCACTTCCGCAGCGCGGACGAATGGTCCCGTTGGATCCCGTGGGCAGGATAATTGGCGCACTTCGGCACGGAGGCGGCTGAGGCATATCGCATGTGCAATGAGGTTTGCAAGGGAAGCAAGCACGGAGGCTAGCTCCTGCATTCCGAGCACACGGAGGAAGGGCCACTTTCCGTAGTACTTCTCAATGGGGCCCTTTCCTCCCGTGGACTTCCAGGCCTCAACCGCCCGCATGCAGTGGTATGTACAGTCGTCCTCGCACTTCCAGCGGAAGACGCGTAGGGATAAAGGCACTGTCTGCGCCGTCTCTTTCAGGCCGCCTGCTGTATTGGCCATTCCGTCTTCACTTCCGGTCTGGGTGTGTGGCGTCGGGGGCGCAGCGCCGCGCAGCGCCTGACGGAAGCAGGTGTCGGGGCAAGTTCGGCTGGGCTGCTGACTAGACGACAAATGCGGGAGGGACGTACAGCCGGTCTGGCGGCATTGCTCAAGGCATCCCTGAAAGGCCTGCAAACGATCGCCGCTGCTCGCAAGAAAGCGATGCGGAATGTAGACAGACAAGATAAATGCGATTGGTAACCATGACTGCCTAGATCGAAGGCATATGTTCAAAGGCAGTATATGTGCATTTCGTTTCATAACACTCATTTGCGGTGATCCGTCGCACTTGTTTACAATCGCGACATCTGATTGCTCACAGCTCCCCGGGACAATCTGTCAGCAAAATGTTAATTTTCCGTAATCCAATTCATGCAATTCAGGAAGGCCAGTTCATAGGCAGGGGCGTGCAAAATGCCGACGCCGTACCATCGTATTCAACTTATCCTTCTTGCCGTTGACCGTAACGTTTTTCATCCACGGGAAAGCGGCGACCCTAAATTGCTGAAAGCCTTGCTATCAAGATTTTTAAATAATGCACAAATGGCCGCAGCTTGACAGACGGCCGTCCATTACCAAGTGCGGAGAGCGCACCCGGTGGAACAGTCTTAACCTTAAAAAAATCGTCTAAGGAACCTAAGGTTACAACGATGCTTAAGTACAATATTCCAGCGGTGAGCATCACTGGACAGCATGGCCGCATTTGGACGACAAAGCCAACGCCAGGGCACAGCGGCCTTGTCGCTGTCCTGCAAGTCCCTGCAAGCAAGGTCTCTGAAGCTGTCAGATCCCCAGACTTTACAGTGGCAGCGATGGAGCGGCGGGCAGACTTGTTGGTGACAGCTGATACCCGGGGCCAGGTGTACGTGTTCGACATCCGCCAGAATCGCTTCTCGTGCCTAGACAGGACAGGATTTCAAGGCACCGCTGCCCTAATTCACGGGCCGCGCGTGATCTTTGTGGCCTTTGCTGACAGCAGTATTCGCTGCTATGACGCATCCAAGGGGACCGTTACTGGCGTGCTGCGGGAGCACAGGAGGTGAGTCGCTGATCGGACGTCTGTTCCCGATCGCTTAGCTCTGGCCCCACGCATTTCACCCCTTCTATTAAGGCAAAATCCAACCTCGACACGAAATTGGAACAGTGACTCGATCCTTACCGGCCAATATTGCATGTAAATGAACCCAGATAGAAATACAAGTATGATTATCACGCTATGCGAATGCTCACTTTAGCCACTTGGGTTGCACAAATTTTAGAAAGGTTGGAAGGCAGTGTACAGGTACTATAACCGTGCCCAGGCAGCAAACCCTTCATCTTCTGGTTTTCCATCCTCATCGCAAAGGCACCGCCACTGTTTTTTGTCCCATCCCTCGCGCCATCATTGTGGCCAAGAGGGTCACGACAAAGCCAACCATTCGCCGTGGTTGCTAAGGTGCCCTTCGCATCCCTAAGGCCCTTAATAATCCCCCTCACTCCAAGGCCCCAACCGTTTCAAGTCTGCCTGCCTCCCGGGGGCCTTATGCAGTCCTGTACGTCACCTGGAGATCAATCGAGAGCTGAACGAGCTGCTATCCACTTCGGTGGATGGAGTGCTGGTGTGGGACATACAGGTGTGCGTATATATGTATGTATGTATGTGGTTTGTGTGTGAGTGTGTGTGTTGGGTGGCTGGGCGGTTGGTTTGTAACGGTCGGTCCGGAGTGAGGACGTGTGGCGTGGTGGCGGCGTGTGGCCATGTGGCCTTCATGCACCATTACTGCGTGGGGAGGTCGCTCGTTAAGCGTCTTGTCCGTGCTGAAACATCTTTGTTTTTCATGTCTTCGTCCTAGTGACGGCATGGCGTTCACACGTAACCTGCTGCGTTGCTGCACAACAAGTCTTTGTCTGTACTCGTGCTTTCTCGCGCTCTCGTGCTTGCGCATTTCCTTCCTCCTTAAACCTCTGACCTCCCCCGGCTCTGCTTTACCTCTGTAGAAGCTACGGCGCAAGAGGGTGCTGGGGAGTGGCCCCTACGGCGCGCTGCAGGCCAGCTACACAGCGGACGGCCAGGCCATCGTGACCCAATTCAAGGTGCAACGGTCTATGTGGGGCAGGCTAGGAATTGAACAGCAAAAACAAGCGAAATCTGAAACCCTAAGTCCCGGACAGATCTGGGGTGGGGGTTGCGGAAGGGAATGCGATGGGGGACAGGAGGATGCGAGGTTTTCTATGAGGGCAGCAAGGGCAGTCCGGGAGCCTGAAAGCCTCACGGTAAGGCCCCGAAGCCTGAGCGAGGAGAGCGAGGCCACAAAGCCAGGCCAGTGAGGTATACCACTGTGGTTTTGTCACCTGCGCGTGCCTTGTGCCGTTTCACCGCATCATGAAAACCGTGTTTGCTTCTGTGTTTCGCTCGTGCGCGCTCCCTACAGGATGGCAGCTTCTTCATTTGGTCCGTGGGGAATTTTGCACTGGTGCGCTCGTTCACGCTGCCGGTGGCGCCGCCGCTGCGACCCCTCCAAACGACCTTCTGCCTCAGCCCCGACGGCCAGCTGCTCGTCTCCTGCGGCCCCACGCTGCCCGTACTGCTGGTGTACAGCGTTATCGGCGGCTTTCTACGGTACGGCATTGGCCTGCCGGCGCCACCGTCGCAGCTCGACACAGGTCGTGGCGTCGGAGAGGGGGCTGCAGGGGCCGCTGCCGCAACCGCAGGCGCCGCCGCCGCAAAGGAGGCTGCCGCGGGGGCGGCGGCGCTGCCGGCGCTCGGTGCAGACGGCACCGGGCTGCCAGCAGCGGCAGCTGCACTGGCGGCGAAGTTGAGCATGGCGATTGGTGTACGGCAAGTGGCTTTCCTCCCGGATTCGGCAACGGTGGCCGCTATGCTCACGGACGGCTCCATCGCGTTTGTGGATGTGTTGTCGTGCAGCTGTGTGGGCGCCGTGCCGTACAGCTTTCCCAACCGACCTGACGGCAGCTTCACCCTCGACGCCCGCGCGCAGCACATGGCACTCACCGCCGATGGCAAGGTGCGTTGTTCACGCGCTCGCACGTGTTTGTCTGTCTGTTTGTCTGTTTTTTTGCCATACAAGAAGTCTCCTTAGAGAACACCGTTGTTCTTTCGCTCCCTAGCTCTGAGCGAAAGGAAGAAATGCCCTCCCGGAAACCCAAGGAAAGGCCAGGAAACACGCACCGCTACCCCCGTCCCTTCTTGCACCCATCATTTACGGACTCACGATAGGAACACGATGGGGACAGCGCAAACAATCCCTCTTACTCCTTTCTCTTTTGTTTTTGGTGTGTTTTTCCGTTTGGGTCGCTGCAACAGGTCTTTCTCTACGACCTCGCCGGCAAGGTCTCCAGCGCGCAGCCCCCGCGGCCGCTGCCCCGTGTGTCGCCCACCCAGCTGAACGACCTGGCCGCCGCCGTAGCTCTCGAGCACCTGCGGCAACATCGGGCGCAAGAGCAACTGCAGTTGGAGAGCGCCAAGGTGGATTGCCGGGTCGGTGGGTCAGTATACATAGCCCCACAGTATATGGGGCAGGGCAGTGCAGGGCAGAACACAGCAGGGTATGGTATGGCACCGGGTTTTCGCGCTCCCTCCCGTCGGTCAAGGTCAAGGTCAAGGTCAAGCCGTCCTGTGTGAAATGCAGCATACCGTGCTCATGCCGCTTGCGTCCTTTGGCAAGGACCCGCAGATGGCCTTTCTCTCCTCACCTACCTACTGCCCCCAAAAAACCAACCCAGAGGTTTTTCCCCCGGGGGTACCCTCTCGTTGTCGCCATAATAATCCCTCCGCTTTTACCCTTTTCCTTCCTTCCCTCCCACCTCGCTTTCGCTTTCCCTTTCCCCATGCAGCCTCCATCCATTCCCCTGAATGCTGCGGTCTCATTCCCCCGGCCTCCTCAAAACCAGTTTCCGGTATCCCCTCCACCTGGCCCATCATCTGCAACCTTTCCTCTCCCCCCCCAAAAAAAAAACCTGAAAAAGAGATGGAGCCTAGAAGCCCCAGCTCGCCTCCACTTTCCATTCCCGTCCCATTGACTAATAATTTTTACACCTCCTATCCCTGTATGCCCCCGTCCCACATCTGCTGTCCACTCTCCACTCGCTACTCAGGACCACCAGCAGCAGCAGCCCTTCCCTGCTGCTGAGGAGTTCGAGGAGGTAGCTGGCCTCCCCGGAGCGCGAGGAGCGAGAGCTCCCCTGGCCGACACAACCCCGCAGCCTGACTCCGGGCGTGCACACAGCGGCCAGACCTCAGCTGCGGGCTGGGGCGCGGGGCCCAAGCCAAGGCCTGGATCTGGATCCGCAACTGCGGGGGTAGCGGCTGCGGCGGCGCAGAGCGGGGCCCCCCAGGCCTTAGCCTTGCCCAAGACCCAGCAGGTGTGGTTAAGGCCCGTAAAAGGGTAGGAACGAAAAGAACCCAGCAGGTGTGGCTTACAGCCCTCCTGCTTTCCCTTTCTTTATCCCACCTCACCCACACGGGGCCCTACGTGCAGAGCCATGCCGTGCTCACAGGTGTGCTCTAGTAGACGTCTGCCTATTGCGTCCCAAAAGATGCGCACTAGCGGGTGATGGGCTCTGCAGGCCAAGCATTCAAGCGCATCAAGCGTACAGGCATCCATTCAAACCTTTGTAAGCCTCTGTTGCCTCTGGGTCCACGTGTGCGACCGCTGCATGCAGGCCGCCGGCGGGAGACCGCCTGTCAGCGGCGTCGCCATGCAGTTGCGGACGGGTTCCGGAGCCGCCGTGGGCCGCCGCGGCGGCGGCGGCGGCGTCAAACCTGATGCAGCGTCCTTATCCCTAAATCGCACCCGCTTGGAAGCTCTGCTGGAGGCCTTCGGGGAGTACCCCGCCAAATACCGGCTGATGATCTGGTGCGTGCAGCGAACATATTTGAGGGTTGGGGTATCCAGGAATAAATATTATTATTATGATGATGATGATGATATTAGTGGTATTGACTGAAGTGGCCGTAAGATAGCACAATGAGGTATATATGCGTGTTGAAAGGGAGCGGTGTTTTGGTTTTTTTTTTGCTGTATCATTACCGCGCCAGCCGCGGACGTGCGAGTCCCTCACGCATATGGGGCCACTACCTGTCAGATGGCATTCACAGGGCTTTTACCGCATTTTGCTATTACGGTTTTCTTAATTTGCCCTTGCGCTTGCCCACGGCGCGGCGGTGTAGGGAGTTCCTGCTTCAGCTGCCCCACAACGCCGCTGCGTTTGCCTGCCTGGCTGGTCTGGGTCTGCACCCCGCGTTCAAGGACGTGCAGTCCAAGCTGCCCCTGGCCAATCGGGCGCTGGCTCAGAGACTGGCAGCGACGCTGTCGCAGCTGGCGCACTGGTGCCCTGTGTTCGGTGAGTGCCGGAGGGTAGGTCTTTGTGAGGGGGGGGATTATATGCAAGGGGAAACACGAGGAAAGAACTGCCGGCGTCGGAAACCCTAAGAAACTTCTCGAGTCCTAAGCTGAAGTCACAATTTGTGTGTGTGTGGGGGGAGAGGTTTGTTTGCCAGGCAAAGGGACAGGGGTGAGGATTTTGTAACGCAGAGGGAAAGTGGCGTGGTACAGTTTGCACGCCTGGTGTAAAAGGCCGAGAGGAGGGGAAAGAGGGGACGCGCCGGAATCCAGGGACGGGGGCCTGGCAGGGTCAGATGTCGTCCGATAAGGTCCGGTAAGGAGCTACGGAGGTAGGAACACATCGGGCACATCGCCCCTACCTCCCACCGATGGCGACCTCACCTCTTCCCTGCAACTACTCCCAACCTACCCCTCTTCCGTAAAAAAACCTGAACGCGTGCGCTTCCTACCTTCTGTGTACCGTGCGGCGCCTTTCTACGCGTTCTGCTGTGCCTCCACATCCTTTTTTATGCAGCCGAGTCGTCCTTCCTGCCGGACCTGATCTTTCCGTTCGTCAAGCTGTTCGCCTCGGCGTCGGCGCTGCACCGCGGCAGTCCAGTTGCTGCTGCCGGCGCTCGGCGCCCTCGCAGCAGCGCGGCACTGGACGAGCGCTGTTTCGAGACTGTCGCCACGTTGCTGAGCTGCGGCTGGATGAGGGGCTGGTGGGAGCGCTTTCCGCACCCACCGCTGGGACTGCTCACCCGCCTACAGGTGTGTTCAAACGTGTATGTGTATAAGTATTTGTATGTGCGTAAGTGTACGTATAAGTGTGTGGGTGTGTGGGTGTGGGTGTGTGTGCGTCTCGGCGTGTGTTGGTGCTGCATGGGGGGTTGCTGCATGGGCCCGAGGACAGGGTGGATCTCAAATTGGGTTGTGAGCTTGAGCGGGTCAGTCAGAGGTGTCCAGGATTTAGGGATTTCAAGGCGGTGCGAAGGGAACGGGCTTCGCGTACCAGGTCGTACCAGGTCAGGACAGGTCGTACCAGGTCAGGACAGGTCGTACCAGGTCGTACCAGGTCAGGACAGGTCGTACCAGGTCAGGACAGGTCGTACCAGGCCGTACCAGGTCAGGACAGGTCGTGCCGGGTCGGGACCGGAACCGGTCACTTGAGGAGGGCCGCGTGTATATGTTTTTCGTCGTTGTCGTGCCCGCGCTTCCCCTTTACGACCCATTTCCAACCCTCCCTCCTCTCCCCGAACTTCTACGTTCCCTAAAAACGCACGGACACGCTCTGCATCCCCTACCGCACCTCTCCTTTTATGCCTCATCCCCGACGTTCTTTCTTCTGGATGCCGAAATGATGTGACGTAGTGTTGCCGCCGCCGCCGCCGCTCAGGACTTGTTGTCGCTGCATGACGCCCCGCTGGCTGCCCACTTCAACACCTACCGGGGTGGCATGGCGGGTGTGGTGTGGCCCCACCTCGCCACCCTGTGGACAGAGCTGCTCACGAGGAGTGACTGGCTGCGGGTAAGTGTTGTACGCGCGTGGGAAAAGCGTGGCCGACCTATGCCCTCACCCACATCCGCATCCGCACCTCCTGTTTCCCCTTTCCTGTGTGGTGGTGGCTGTCCCTGCCCCTTCCTGTGCCGCTGCTGGGTGCCATCTGCTCGCCCTTGTTGTTGTCTTCCTCCCGCTCTGCTCGCTACCTCACCCCGTGTACACCCCACCCCACATCACACACACTTGCACCATGCCGCACCGCACTGACCGCAGCTGTGGGACCACTGCATCACCGCCGGGCCCGACCTACTGTACATGTTCGTGTGCGCCTACTTCATCAGTCTGCGGGTTCAGATCATGGCCATGGATACGGACCACAAGCTAGCCAACTGGCTGGCGGGGCCGCCAACCATCGACATGGGCGAGGTGGGTGAGGCGTGTGGCGCATGCGGTATGGGTGGGGGAGGGTGCATTCGGTCTTGCACTGTGATGTAAGACGAGGTGTGAGTGGTGTGGATTGGGCCGGGATCGGGCGCGTAAACCCGACCTGCCATGCATATCAATGGTGTCGGAGTAGCCCTCCGCGTAACGATCCTCTGCCGTGGCGCTTGGCGCTTTGGCGACGCATGTATGCTTAGGACCGCGCCGCGCCGCGAAATAGCCGTAGGAATGCCGACAGCGGAGAAGCAGAAGCTTTTACACAGCGTGTTACTTGTTGTACTGCCGAACCCGGTCAACGACCCGTGGGACGCTGCAGATCCTCAAGGTGGCCTACCTCCTCCGCGACCGAACACCCGAGCAGCTCCGCCCCGTGCCGAATGAGTGGCAGCCGCTGCCTCAGGGCCCCACCTACGTCGAATTCAAGGACTTCCCCGCAGGTGCGATCTGGCGGCGTATGAAATGGCGTGGGGCGGGGTGGCTGCGAGCTCGGCGCTGTCGCTCCGCTGTGTTTAAAGAGCCGCATGAAATTACTTGGGATAGATAGATATAGATAGATATAGAGAGAAAAGAGAGAGAGAGAGAGAGAGAGAGTGGAGAAGGAAAGGCTCATGTCCAGCATGGCGTGGGCCTCTCGCGTATGATATACACACGCATATATAAACACACATAAACTCTCTGGCACGCACGCTCATGTTACGCAACCCAGTAACTGTGGGGGATAGTTACCGGGTACTGTATGGCCTTGTGTCATGTCTCAGGGGTTTTCTTGAGCTCTCCCTCGGCCACCACTCGTGTGCCATACTCGCCGCGGCTTAGGTCAGCAGAACACTTCATTGTGCGCAGTGCGGGTTGCGTTTTGACTGAAGGCGAACGGTCTCCCCCCGTCCTAACATGCTCTCCACAGGCGCAGTGGAGTTGTTCGCTGCGGACCGAGCTCGCATCAAGGAGGCGGAGGACGCCATCATGCGGCGGAGGGCCGTAGTTTCGGAGCTGGAGTTGCGGACGCGTGCCGTGGCGCTGCAGGTGCGTGCGTGGAGAAGATGGTGAGGAGGAGAAGAGTCGCGAAGAGACCGTTCATGGATAGGTAATTACACGAGGTCTGGATAGATCGATGAATGGATGGATGTCGTCACATCACCTCTCAACCTGCTTTGGAGTTGGTACCTTGGATTTCGGCAGTTTGAGTTATTTTTTGCATATTGCATATGGTCTTCCCTACCCTTCTTTGGTCGCCCAAAGGCAGAGGCGGCAAAGTCAGGGTTCCAGCAATTGCGCGACTTTCCTTCGATGCAATTATGCACGTTTGTCCCCGTGTGTGCGTGTGTTTGTGTGTGTGTACGTCCGCACCCCTATCAGGCCGCCTCCCTGTCTTCGGAGCGCCAGCAGCTAGCGGCCCTGGAGGAGCAGCGGCGGGCCATGCTGCGGCAGCTGGAAGCGGAGACCGCCAGTGAGATGGCCCGGCTGGACGACCGAGCCAAGGAGGAGAAGCTTAGGCAGATCGCGGCGATGGAGAAGGCGTACCAGGTGCGTGGGTCAGGGCCGGGGCGACGAGGCCAAGAGGGTTTAGGGTTCCTGAGCGAAGCCCCTGAAGAGTTGGTGGGATTTGCTGAGGGCGTGGAAAAAACAATACCGAAAAGAGATGTGAAAGCTCTTGATTGTTCTTACACCGCACACGCAAAAGGATTGCTATGTGGTCAAGTACTCCTCTTTTCTCCCGGCACTTTCCCGGCCAAGCAGCAACTCGCCCCAACCGATTTTAAGCAAACCCATTTAAAACGAACCCACCTGACCCTCCTGCGGCCCGCCCTGCCCGCACCTACACGCACATCGGGCCCACCAGGCCAATCTGCTGGAGGTAAGGGCTACCTGGCAGCGCGAGCTGGAGTTCGCACGTGCCGAGATGGCACACAAGCGGGCGCTGGCCGCGCAGCAGGTCCGGAGTCGCCAGGAGGATGAGCAGATCAAGGTGCGGTAAACGGATGAGCCGGGGTAAGGCAGCAGTCTGGCACGTTGTTGCTGCTGTTGTTGTTGTTGTTGTTGTTGTTGTTGTGTGGGAGTGCTTTGGGTTTTTGAGTGCCTTCCCTTCACCCCTTCACAGAGCGCTCCTGAAGCCCTTGAGGGGGGGCCCCCTTGACCTAAACCCTCTGCCTTTTATACGAGGCAAAGGCACCGTGCCTTGGCGGCGTGCTTCCTTCCTCCGTGATGTGAGAGTCCGTGGAAAAAACAGTTTATGACAGGTTCACGTGGCCCGCGATGGGTTTTCCCAGAGTTCTCTTCCTTCCGTAACCCCCGAACGTCATTCCAGTGCTGCGCAACCCAAACCAAACCCCCGTCCTCGCATCCTGTCAGGCCTTGGAGTTCCACGCGCAGCAGCGCATGCGGGAAATGGAAGATGACGTACGGCGCACTGCCGTCGCATCCGCCGTACGGGACGAGCTTCTGTCCCAGCAGATGGAGGCGGAGGCCAAGCAGCGAGCCAAACTGAAGGAGTGGGAAATCGGTGAGTGGGTGAGGGGGGGGACTACGAGAGCGGGAAGGCGCCACGCTGTAAGCTCCCCTAAAACACACATCTCTCCACGTATACATACATACATACATACATACATACATACATACATACATACATACATACATACATACATACATACATACATACATACATACATACATACATACATACATACATACGTCGCTGGTGACTACGCCGTTCGCTTCGGTAAAGTTATTCCCCTGTACCACCATCGGCATTTCTCTCATCGCGGCTCCGAAGGGCATGAACACATCTATATACACACACGCTGGCAGCTTTTTGCCTGGGCCTATTCCTCCCTTGCACGTTTTGTTCGTCCATCTCCTCCGTCTTTTTACCTTTCTGTCCGTAACCCCGTTAAGACCGAAATCCTCTTTGTTGTTGGTTAGCCGTTCTCTTGCAATGCTCTCCCATTTCGGTCCATGGCCCTACCTGTAGTAGCTGACCACTGAAAAGGCCTCTCGAGATGCTGGTGGACGCACTTAGGGCGTATTTGTAGCTGTTATGTGAGCCGTACTGTGTACCAGCTACCACAGCTGCTCTTTGCCGATGCCCATACCCACACTTCTATCACCCTCATCGTTACCACAACCTCTCACGCGTCCCCCGGTCCGGTCGCTATTGCGTGCTGTGTCCCCCCGTGTTGTATCGCCCCGTACAGAGGACGAGTCCCGCAAGCAGCGGTTGCAGCACGAGCAGGAGCGGCGCGCTCAGCTGGCCGTGGCGGCCGAGGAGAGTGCGGCACGCAGCGCAGCGGCCAGGGAGGCGCAGAAGCTGGCACTGCAGATTGATGACCATGTCATGACGGTAGGGGGGTCGCGCTGGGCTGGGCTGGGCCTGACCGGGCCTTTCACTGGGCTGGGCTGGGCTGGGCCGCTCCTTTCGAGAGCTCTAATTCGCTGTGAGGTGTTACCAACAGTGGCTTCATTGAGTGAGCGAATTGCGCAAGCGACGTTTCCTGCCAACGAAAGGAATTTAGGTGCTGGTGAACCTGGCCAGCAGGGGCCACCGTCCCCCCGCCCTAACTCGCGGCAAATAACAAGCACCGTTACCGCTCATCCGGCTCTGAAACGTCGTCCCCGCTCCGCCCAATCTCGACTCATCCTCCACTGTTCGACTGGAGTCTTGAGTCGATGTGGCTTTGGGGTTCCTGAGTTTTTGGTACCCCCACCACCCACTAGCATCAGCAGTTAGTGATTTTTGGACGTTGACAGTTTGCTCACGCCTCGGCTACTTGTATGTGGTCTACACTCTCCTACCCCCCACCCCAAACCCCCGCCCACACCGCTACACCAACGCTAACCAGTTGGATGGCCAGAGACGGCTGCGGCGCATGGCTGAGGACGCGGCGCTGGTGACTGCGGAGGCTCGCGCTGCGGAGGAAGCCCGACTGGCTGCCCGGGCTGCAGCTGAGCAGGAGGCTCTGAGGCTGCGGGCCCGGGCAGACATGGCCTGGTACGAGGCGGAGCAGATGAGGAGGGAGCAACTCCTGGAGCAGGAGCGGCAGCAAATGGAGGTGAGGTAGGGTGTGCGTTTTTGATTGATCTGGGTTGCGAAAATGGAGGTAGGGTGTGTGTTTTTAATTGATCTGGGTTGCGGAAATGGAGGTAGGGTGTGTGTTTTTGATTGATCTGGGCTGCGAAAATGGAGGTAGGGTGTACAAGTTAAGTAACAAGTGCCGCAGGAATGCGGGGGGAAGTGTCCGTCAAAGCCCGTGGGCTATGGACTGTATATCCATGTATAGTCCATGGTGTGTGTGTGTGTACCGGAGGGTGCGTACTTAGGGTTTTAACGAATTGAGCTACGAAAAGGAAAATGGCGGAGGGGATGGCACACGAGCAGCACCTTTACCGAAGCGTGTGTGCGGCCCTATTTGGGAAGTTGCGGGGGAAAGGGGAAAAACACGAACCCAGCAGGCGTGACTCAAACGCCCGCCAGGGAACGCTAATGCCACGGGAACAGTAAAACCCAGTAGCAGTACTTCACAGTGTGGAAAGGGGACAGGAGGAGGGAGGACGGGTGTCGTTCTTCTTTGTCCTTGTCCCTTAGCAATGTCTAAATTCCTAGTAATCGGGGTTTTCCCCTTCCTCCCATTAGTCAGTGCCGTACTCCCCCGACTGTGTGCGTAGCGAGCCAACGTGTGTGCGGCAGGAATTCCAACCTCCTGACCACCACCACCACCACCACCACCATCGCTACGAAGTGGTTCTTCCTTTCATCCTCAATATCACCACCACCACCACCACTACCATCACCACCACTCGCCACTACGGCTCTCGCCGCTCACCGTCCCTATACCTATACCTATACCTATACCTACACTACTGCGGGCCCGGTACCCCTCAGGCCGCAGCGGAAGCGGCCCGCAGGAAGCTGGCGGACACGGAGGCTGCGGCGAGGACCATGGCGGTGCAGGCCGAGCTCCTGGAGAGGCGCAGGTGAGCGGAGGAGGGATGTGAGCAGGGCTAAGGACAGGACAGGGGAGCTGACGACCCTCAGACAGGACAGGACATTACGTGGCATGGCATGTGGCATGAAATAACGTGGCATGGCATGACATTTGGCATGACATTACGTGACATGACATTTGACATGTGACATGACAGACACCCCCTCGCTGCGCACTCCCACTGCACCTCCCGCAGGCACTTGGAGCGGCAGAACGCGGCGGAGGAGGCGCATATCCGGCGGCTGGTGGGCGTCATGGCTGTGGAGCGCGGGCGAGATGCCGTACTGGTTTCGGATCTGGAGGCCAAGGAGGACGAGATGAAGGTACAGTATGCGGGTTGTAGGGAATGTTGATGACTCTCTCTCTCTCTCTCTTACCCCTTGCATGCGATATCTGACCTCCGCGGGTACGCCTGTATGTATGTGTGTGGGTATATGTGTGTGCGTATATGTGTGTGTACCTCGCTCCGGGGCCCCCCACCGCCGCCACCGCCACCACCACCACTGCCCCTCCCACACCACCTCCACCATGTCCACCACCGCCACCTCGCTCCATCTCGCTTCCCCCCACCCCCCAGGCCAATCTTGTGCACTACGCCCGACTGGGCAGTCTCCAACGGGAGGTGGAGGCCAGTGAGGCGGCTGCGGCGGTGACCCTGCTAGCCAAGCTGGACGAGCAGCAGCGCCGAGAGCTGGTCGAGCTGCGGAAGCTGCATGACGAAGCTCTGCAGCGGCTATCCAAGGAGATGGAGGGGCAGGTGGGGCCCAGCCTACTTGCCACTCCTCCATATGGACTAGATTGCATACGGGCCTCTTTCTCCCCCCTCTCTCTCCCCCCCTCTCCCCCTTTTCTCTCTCTCTCTCTTTGCGCCACGGCTGTATGTGTAACCACGCGTGCGTGTGTGTACACATATGTGCGTGCGTGTGCACACGCTCTGCTGGGCACGGCACGGCCGGTGCGGCCCCCACCCGCCCATTCCTTCCCGGGAATGTGCACGGGAAATCAACGTCTGGACGCGGTGGACGACACGTTATGACATTACAAGATACCGGGCTCTGCGATGTCATCACATGCCCCGCGGATACCGTGCCGTGCCGCACCATCTGCGATTTCGTGCTGCTGCTCTCACGTCCCAGGACGCCAATCACGCAAAGAACGTGAAACGCAAAATGAACCAGGAGCTCTCACGCAGCACACAAGCCACGAACTTCGGGACGTGATGCGATTCATGATGCTGTGTGTGTGTGTACGCGCGTGCGTGCATGCATGTATGTATGTATGTGTGTAATATCATCCATCCGCCGGTTGTTGCGGCTTACGCAGGCCACTGAGGCGGCTGTCAAGCGGAGGTCTGAGCTGCTGGAGGATCAGCTGGCGGCCATTCGGGCCCACCAGCAGGCCTTTGAACGCCGCAAGCAGGAGCTGGGCCGGGAGATGGTCACAGAGAAGGTGCAGTGGGGGGGTACTGTGGGTAAATGAGCTGTCGTTAGCTGAGGAAAAGGTCTTCTTCTTCTTCAGGTTTACGATTAATATGGGTACCGTGTCAACATGTTGCATGTTGTGCGGGGCGCTGTTGCGCAGCCCTCGCCAACCCCAACCATTTGCCAGCTTTACTAACGCCTTACGACTGATCAGCGACTGACAGTCACCATTTCCACCCACACGACCACTGAGTCCTACCACTGCCACCACCACTGTCTCCGGCAGCGTAATAATACCATCAGTATCAGCGCGCATACGGGCGCTGCTGCCACCTCAAAAATTCTTGACAGAACCGTTATCCCGTCTGATGTTCCTGTGACGATGGCGCACGCAGAGTCGCATATTGCGCAAAGCAACGGAAGGGGGGACCTCCGCCGCCGCATCAGCTGCTGCCGCAGCCGCAGCCGCCGCAGCCGCAGGAGCTACCAGCAGCGAGACATCGCGCGAAGATACGCCTCCTCCGCCTCCCCCACCACCGCCGCAAGTGCCCCAATATTATCCCCACGACTTTCAGCAAGCAGACCCGCCGCCGCAGCCGCCGCAGCCAGAACACTCCGCTGGCGAAAGAGACCTCCCTGCAAGGCCTACGGGCGGTGCTGCTGGCGCGCGTTCCGCCGCGGCCGTGGCCGCCGACGCCGCCCGCCACACCGATATGGTGCTTCGCGCGCTGGGCCTCCACTCCCAGACCTCCAGCCCCCCCACCGCCACGGGGTCTTCCACTGCAGGGACCCGCGGCATCCTCAACCTCTTCACACCACGTCACGGCCACATCTTTGACTTCTTGTCCGACAGTAACCTTACTCCCGAATCCAACTTCTCCTCCGTCACTACCAGCTCTGCGCCGTCACCGGAACGGCCCTTCTTCTTCCGTAAGGCGCCCGTGGTGGCTGTAGCGGAGGCTATGGCGCCACCGGGGACTGCTGCTACTGCCGCTGCTGCCCCGGACAAGGACGCCAATGCAACAACAACAACAACAACAACAACAACAGCCCGTGCACAGGAGCAGCTGGAGTCCCCGAGCACGACCGCAGTTCAGTCAGCGGAGCGCACTCAGGAGTCCGCAGCTGGCGGATGGCCGCCGCCAGCCCGCGTTTCCCAGGCCGTCAATGCGCCGCAGCGTCCGTCGACGGCGCCCGCCGCCGGCACCCCTCGTTCCGTCGTCAGCGGCACCGCCAGCTCCGACACGGTGACACAGTCTGGAGATACACCTGTACCGCGAAGTACCTCAGCAGGCAGCGGCGCCGTCGGCAGAACAGGAGCCACAGCCGCAGCCTCGTGCAGTCATATTACCCCAGGCAGCTCCAGCTCAACTGGCGGCGGCGGCGGCTGCGGCGCAGCTTCTGCCTCCGCTATCGCCGCCGCTGCCGCGGCGGCCGACAGGCCGATTGGCTCCAGACGCAGTAGCTGGCCTTGGGGCCCGCTGTCGCCTCTGCACGAGGAGGGTTTGGTCCTGGCAGACATGACTCCCTCCACATCTCCCTCCAGCTTCCTGCCCCTCATTACACCTTCCAGGGGGGGGGCCACGTCAGCGTTCTTAGGTTCCAGGTGCGGCTGCGGGTGCGGCATCTGCATCTGCATCTGCATCCAGCGCTCGGCCCTTACATAAGGCTCTGGACTGAGGCCCTTTGCCCTGCTGGACCGGGTTTCCTTAGGGTTGCTACCAATCCAAAATACACGCGCACACACATACATGTACACACATATGTAAATATTATTTATATATGACGTGTCCCACCAACACCCACCCTTCTCGCAGCATGCATGCCCCACCGAACCGTGGGCCCCTGGAGCATTCCGCCGCGGCGTCAATCACCGCCGCGGCTGCCCTGCATCGTGCCGCCATGGCTGCCGTAGGGGCCGCGTCCCCTTCCCGAGAACAGCAACAGCATCAACAACAACCAAGACGACAGGAGCGCTCCGGAACCAGGTGGGGAGGGGTGCTGGTAACCTGGCCTGCCATGACCTGTGTGAGCATATGTGGCATAGAATGACACCTGACAGGGCAAAGCAAGGCAAGGGTGGCTGACATGATCGCTGGAAACAAACGCTCGATACTATGTCACTTGCGACGTGACGAAAGTCATTAGGAGACAAGGCATTTGTGTGACACGGCAGCATGTGGAGGTTGCCTGATACGTAACGCAGGTAACTCACCTTCCGCTTCACAATCACATCTCCTCCTGCTCTTTCTCCCCCGCCCCTTTTTCATTCTTTACCCCGTCCCTTCCCCCCTCCCCTGTCTTCGCATGTAACACACGGACACATAATGCACCATGGAGCCCCAGTCCCAACCGAAGCTGTACGACAGGCGAGTCCTCCGCCACGCCCACCAGCAACGACCTTCGCGCCATCCTGGGCGTGGACGAGCACGTCCAATTGTACGGGCCCCCTGGCCATCGCCGAGCGACCCTGCCCGCCGCGCACCACCCCGCCTTCATCACCTCGGGCTCTTCTTTCTTGGAGAGCAGCTTGGGTAAGAGGAGGCAGGAGGGGCAGGGAAGGGGGGTGAGGCGTGTGTTGTTAGAGGTTGGGACGTAACGTGTAGCGTGTAGCGTGTACACGGGGGCCTGTGCGTGGCACTGCAAAAAGCAGGAACTTGAACTTGTGTGGCGGCAACGGGTTGCGGGCCGTTTATAACCCCCCAGCGCACACATACTGCGCATGTCCCATAGGGCACGTCTTCACCTTCTGACTCCCAATTGAGTCTGAGTTCATCGACTGTTGGGTTCGCTAACATCAAGCATCGGCAGTAGCGCTGGAACGCAGCGCGCAAAATCCTAAATTTACAACATCCCCCTTAAACCTGCTTAGGATGCCGCACTCCTAACGCAGGCACAGTCCTAAGGCTTATAGATTTCTAACCCAAAAGGCTATCCCCGCGTCAATCCCCCCGCCTCCGCCCTTCCTCCTCCCTGCTATACCCGCTCCGCTTGCCCTGATCTATCCCTCCAACTTCATGTGCTGCCATACCCCCCACAAACACACCCGCAGATGGGGCGGTGGGCCTCCAGTTGCTGCTGCAGAAGGCACAGCCCAAGTCGTGTCCTGGAGCTATCGCACCAAGCGGGGCAGCTGCGGGCGCTGGAAGCGGCCCCCCGGGTCTGCAACAGCCCAATCCATGCCCGGGCTCCAGCCCAGCGATGGCGGGTCTTTACAGCAGCATGGAGGCGAGCGACCCGGCGGCCAACACAAGGTCGATCATCACCACGACGGAGACAACCACGACGACGTCCCCAAGCAACAGCTGGTGCGTTCTCGAGCACGACAGCAGTAGCACCAGCACCTAGCACCAGCAGCGCCAGCAGGATGAACAAGAGTAGCGGGTAGCAATGGGTTTTGCTAGAGTTTCAAAATAGGAAGTTGTGTGCGTTCACTGTCACTGACCGCCTCCTGCAAATTCACGTTCCTCCTTTTTCCGTCCCTCCATGTTGTTCTTCTTTTGGTCTATTACAGGTCCTCTTTGCAGCGTTCTGGACTGCTGGGTCTGTCGCAACCTCTCAATCCGCCACCACAGCTGCCGATGCCCCCTCCGCCTCCCCCCCAACAACACCCGCATCCGCACCCGCACCCGCACACCTCCCACCACCACCACCACCAACAGCAACAGCAACAGCAGCAGCATCCGACCTCCAGTAATCACCTGGCAGCGTCGAGCGACAGCTGGTACGGCACGGCAGCGGCCCGCCGCGACGTCGCCGCTGCCGCCACCGCCCTTGACACCCTCTCCACTACCACGGGCCTTACAACCCTCACCTCCATCAGTACCTACACCTCCCACGTCTCCTTCACTCCAGCGGCCGTACAGCAACGACAACGCTCCCAACAGTCTCAACCGTCACAACAACATTCCGCGCGTTCTGTACAGCAGCAGCCCCAAGCACAGCAGCAGCAGCAGCAACAACAACAACATCTTCCCATTGCCACGCCCTCCTCTACCACCGCCTCGTCATCCTACTCCAGCGCAGACCAGGGCGGCGGCGGTGGCGGCGGCACTGGCAGCGGCACGGACTTCAGCAGCGGCTCCTCGCCCTGGCCTCCGCCGCCTCCGCCGGGGTCCTCCGAGGTTGGCCTGGGCCTGAGCCTCGCCGGTCGGGGTCCGTTCTCCTCTCACAACTACTCTCCCGCATCCACGGAAATCCTGTCTGGCTCCGGTCCCTCCACAGCATCGCTCTCGGGGCCGTCGGACGCAGGCGGTGCCGCCCGGCTCCTCGCCCTCGCCCCCGGGGGAGGGGCCCCCGCCTCTTCCAACCGAACAGGGACCGGCCCAGCTCGCTCCGGTGGTGCTGCACCCCGGCCGCTGGAGCCGTTTGCGTCTTCAAGCTCTGGGCTATTTGGGGGAACGAGCTCCAGTGGCGACGCTGCCGGCGGCGGCAGCGGCGGTGCCGCGACACTGGCGTTCGGGTCGAGATTAAGTCCACGCGGCGAGGCAGCGCGGAACAACAGCTCCAGCTCCGCAGGGTTCGCATCGCTGCGGGCCAGCGGCAGCAGCAGCGGCGTTCTTCTGGGCGGCTTGGCTGACAGCGGCGCTGCGTCGCCGTCAAGTGCCGCAGCAGCGGCGGCAGCGCTGGCGGCAGCAGTGTATAGCAGTTACAGCAGCGATATCACGAGCGACAGCGCTGGCGCTGACGTAATGGCCAGCCTGCGCCCGCTTCTGGGCAGCGTCGCCGCGGCCCTATATGGAAGCAGCTCAAGTAGCGGCGGCACCGGCACCGGCACCGGCACCGGCGGCGGTGCCGGCAGCAGTAGCAGGAACCCCCCTGAACTCGGCCGAAGCAGTCTGACGCGCACGTCTATAACCTCCACAACGGCCCTCTCAACCAACACGCCGGGCTCCAGTGACGGCTACCTACCGGGGATGGGACCACTGGCGCTACGACTGAGCAATAACGACAGCAGTAGCGGCCTAGCGGGCCTGTGGTCCGGAGCTCCGGCTACTGCCGCCGCCGCTGGGTCATCCACAGGCGCTTCCACCGACGACGTGTCTGAGGTGCTGCGGCTGCTGCGACTGTCCGCCCAAGACGATCTTGGTCTCCTGTCCTCCTCCTCGCAGGGGGGGTTTCCGCTAGTGCTGCCCAAGGGTTCCTATTCGTTACAACAGCAGCACCACTCGCAGTCACATGCATTGCCGCTACCGCCTTTACCGCCGCCACCACCGCCACCGCAGCAGCAGCAGTGGCAGGACCCTGGCGGCGACGACGGCGGGCGAGGCGAGGCGGCGGATCATGGCCGCCGGAGGACTCACGACCAGGTAGCAGGGACGGAGGAGGAGGAGCAGCAGCAGCAGCAGCGATTGTCCAGGGTGATGCTATTGCCATCGAATTTCTCCGACCCGCATTCCAAGGCCTTCTTTCCGTTGGCGACCTCGGCGTCTGGTGGCCTGGATGCGGCCTGGAGCATGCTCGGACAGGGGGCCCCTGCAGGCGGCGCGGGGTTGGTGGGCCCTATACCTTCAGTGGACGCCGCTGCGGGGGGGCAGGGTTTTGGCAGCTGCGTCGGCAGTAGCAACGGCAGCAGCCGCCACGGCAGCGAGCTGGGAGCGCCGCCCAAAGCCGCCGCAGATTCCGCAGGGGGAGGTGGAGGAGGGGCTCCTAGGGCTACAGCTGCTGCCGCTGCTGCTAGGCCTGCAGCCTCGGTCGGCCGTGCAGCGTCGGGTGGCGGTTGCAGCGCGGCTCAAAGCGACGATAATGGCGATGACGAAGCTGAAGATGACGGCGGCGACGACGACGAGTACGACGATGACGTGTCCATTGCGGTTGCGGTTGCGACACCCTACCCGCTGGGGTCTCGCCCGTCGCCGGACGCTTCGCCGACGCCCGGCCAGGATGAGCGGCCGCCGCCAGCTAACAATGACGGTGTAAGAGGCGGACGGCAGTCAGGCGGCACGGCAGCTAATTTATCAGCGGACGGCGCCGCCAGTGAGCTGTTCGGCAGCAGCCCTAGGAACAGCATCGGCGAGGGCTTTCTGGCCGGGTAAGGTGGCAACTGCGGCAGAGGCCGGAACGTCCAGGGGGGGGAACACGAGCGGGAATGGGGAGGGGAATTTCCATGGACAGGGGACGGTGCTTCCAAAGCGTACGGGATGAAGGTTCCTTTAATCTGTTCGCTGTTTCATGTCGTATCGGCCGTGGTGCTACGTCCGTAGCCCTTTCTTCTGCTGCTACTAACGTTGCTACCCTGCTGATGATGATGATGTTGTTGCTACTCTTGCTGCTGCTGTTTCTGCTCCTCTTTAGCGCACAACTTTACGTGAAGAAGGCTTTCGAGCCGTGCAGGTACCATGTCATGGCAGGCTGCTGTCCTTGTAACACCCCTCCCCGCCCACCTGTTCATTAGGCATTCCTCGCCGTCCCCCTACCCAATCCTCTTGCACCGACTCCTCCTCCGTCCACCGTTCCACCACCTGCTGCCGCAGGATCCCCACCACTCCCGGCGGCGTCAGCGACCTCAGCGCCGAGCTCCGGCGCATGGGCCTGACCTGGGGCCACGGCGACGACTCCACGGCCGCTGAAAGCATGTCGCCAAGCACCATTACCGGCCTCACCAGCATGTACGATGACGATGCGCCCATGACGGTGGCGACCCACGCAAGCAGCGACACAGTGGAAGCACACGAACATAACCGCCGCGTGCCATGAGGCCATTGACCTGAAGTGAGGACGTTAGAAGGCAGAACTCGCAAGGATAGGGAGGCGAATGGCACCGGTGTGAGTGCATTGGTACATCGCGCAGCTGTAGAGCGTGCGCTTTCGGTGGAATGGGGGTTACTTGGCATCTGAGCTGGTGTATGCAGCTGGTGAGAATCGAGCATCTGTCTGCATCAGAGGCGCAAGCGCTCTTCTACCCGCATGTACAGTTTAGTATAGAATGGAATAATATCGTTTTCCCGGATGTGGGTGAAGGCTGAGCCTGATGGCCAGTGCCTTTTCAGAGCGAGCCTTGTTAGGGCGTGGGTGTGGGTGACGTGTACGTGCCAGCAGCACAGAAAGGTAGGAGACCGTTAGCTGCTGGGTGGCGGTGCTTGCGACTTATCGACTTACCTGCGATGGCTTGGGGTGCGGTTCAGGGTGCGACCATGCACAGATGGGTTAATGCCGCCGGCTCCAGCTTGACACGTTACTTGTTGTAGCAGTAGTATTAGCCTAGTCAACACCTGGCAAATGGTGGATTAAGCAGTAATGGTTTCCCGGGAGTGGTTCCTATAACGTGGGAAGAAGTTTTAAGTAGTACGGGATGAATACGGCCCTGAATGGGTGCGACGCAGGTGAAGCCCTTCCAGCAGCATTCAGCCACCCGTACAGCCAACATGTACTGGTATCGTATACCGCACGTCCGCACCCGTGTCGAAAGATGAACAAAATCCAATACAGATTTACAGGGGCCCTTGTATACGTTGCATTGGATCTCCACCTGACCATGAATTTGAGAGTTTCATGACTGATTGCAATGGCATTTATATTCCTCAACGGACGGTTAGCAGGGCAGCGCAGAGCGCCGTCCTTAGGGCTTCCAAGCACCTGCCAAGTGCCTCCTCATACCAAAAGACACCTGAAGACACCAACAGTGTCTTCAGGAGGTCGTGGAAACAAAAGAGCTTTGCCCGCTCTCCTTTTCCCTTTTTAGCAAAGCGTATTCTCAAACATGAGACGGGTTAAAGATCCAGTTGGCCCTGATACCCGTCCTCAGCCCGCTGGACGAACCCTTAAGCCCTGCAGTTTAAACCCAACCCCGGTAAAGGAGCCAACAGCGGATTTTGGCTGATTGGACGCAGGGGACTAGAACCGGGAATAGAATAACGAAGCGAACCAAGGGATGGAGAACTGTTCGCAACTAGGGTCGTTGTTGTTGTTGTTGTTGTTTGAAGTGGTGGTGGTGATATCCCATTTTCCTGGGGTGTTTTCCGTTCACCACAGCGCTGGCGTGCGCCCCTTGCTTCCCATTCCAGTCCGCTGAGTTTATTGATGTCTTACGACAGTGTACGGTCACCTTGTACAGCAGGGTATGAGCAGTTGCCGTTGGCCAGGGTCCTTGGGCCCAGATCATGACCTATCTGACAGCGTTTGTCGGAAACGGCATTACGGAGACTGGGGAGTTCTTATTGCAAACCACGGACACACTCGCCTTGATGCTCGGTTATGCCTGAACTAAGTTGATGTAAAGTCAGAGATAAAGCCCAAGATAAGCATCGTACACACAGATCTTTTAGGACCTTACGACTTCATCGCATCGGTTTGGTGGCAATCAGTTGTGCGGGAAATAGGGGGGTCCTTGTGAAGCAGCTGCCCGCGTTTCCAAAGCACGTATGGTGTTGGATTGTAAGGTGCCCAAGTACGTTTGCGAGGAAGAGAATGTGGCCAGGCTGGAGAGGAAAGTGCAGTGGCATATTGGAATGTGAGATTAGCGTAAGCGAGTTACAGGGCGTTTTATTGCACGGGCGAATTTACGTGCAAATCTTTCACCGTAGCATCAGTCCTCAGTTCACTTCTTGGAACGAACATCAGCATAGGTGCAAGCCCTCTCGCTTGGAGGGATATGCAAACAAACATCCTGATAGGGGTAAACTCGCACGCTACCGAGCATTCAACCGAGCACATGCATGCTTAGTTGAATGGTGAGATGCGACCCCCCCTTCATTTCGTGCTCGGCAAGCCTGCCACCGCGTACCGGATATGTTGGCGATGTTACAGAACGCTGCACCTTGGTTTCTGTGCGCATTGCGTACGTTGCTCGACCCCACCGACCAAAACTACACGTGCCCAACTGAAGACATTCCCGGTGGTTGTGCAGCAGCTCTTGAGGCTGTTGCTGGCTGAAATCCATCCTGAGCTGTTGCAACACGGCTAACGCGGGCACGTCCCTATGCACAGCAAATAGCTGTTCCAAGCCAACAGCGGCGTCCATGCCACCGACAAGGCTCTAAACGTCTTATCTGTTCTTATGTTTAATTAAGTTTATGTATGTTATACTTTGCGCAACTTTGTAATTTGACTTTACTCTGAACAAGGTGCTGCATACAACTGCCTCTTCGCCAGCGCTTCATCTTCCGCGGCAGTTTCACGGGCCCAGAGTTGCAAGCTACGACGTTGGCTTTCGGTGCTTTTATTTACTCCAAAGCATCGACGCAATAGTCCAGCGTGCGGCTAGTGCTTGAATGTAAATGCTCGTCGCTCCGTACCGGACTAGCGTGAAGTGGGCCTTTGCGTCCAGCCTTACACCCGATCCCAATGTTTAATCAGGCCACACCACCTCCCAGCCACACCGCCTTGCGGCTCGTCTGCAAGTCTCAGCCTTGTCATGTCTCCGGGCTTCCTTGGATCCTCGCTTTCGCTATCTTCCCTGTCGTACTCTCGCGCCTAGTCGGCCCTGCCTTACCTCAAAATGAACACTACCTCGGTCGCGTAACTCGGCCTGAAAGGGGTGAGGATGTGCGGCAAACGCCTCCGCGCTTTTATGGGTAACGTTGCCAGCCTAGCTCTCCCCAGCGCGGCCAAACCTGATGATCGAGACACAGTCCGGCTTCTCCTCGGCAACCTTGTGCACTACTCGCCCGTCTGGTCGAAACGGGGTTTAAGGTACAGAACGTCCTGGCGGCTCCACTTTCTCCAGTCTTGGGTGAAGGCGTCCACTGCTAGGGCGTGGGGCCTCCAATAGCGATGCAAAGAAGCACCCCTGGTACTTTTGTGGAGAATTCGTCTGCAAAATGACGACCGTGGCCCGCATCCTTTCAGGCATGTCTCCGCCCACAGGCTTGTGAACCGCGTCGTCTAAGCACCCCTGCGAGCTGTCTC